TAGATTTCCCATATGCTTTCATCTCCCCCTCGCAACTCAATAAAAAAGAAAATAGGAAAAAACTCCCCTCGAACTGAATGAGTCAGAAACATACCCAACGCACAAACACACACACGCACACTTAAGGCAATGGTGGCCTTGAGACTGTGACCATTCGAGTAGATCTAAATATGCCCCCTTCTCGTCCTCCTTCTCCAACACTTTATCCTCTTAACCTTGCCTGCAGTACAACAGTCCACTCAGACTCTTAGAAATACCCACAATGCTACACTCTACCCTACATCACTGAGACTTTAGGCAGACACCTCCATCACAGAGCAACATCCCACAAAGTTACTTTCCACCTTCGCCTGAATCTGATGAATGTTCCTCTCTCTCCCCCGCACCATGCTGCCCGGGTTCTGCTCTGACATCTTGGTGACATCTACTTAAAGTACATTCTCTCTCCAGCCTGTATGTCTGCCTGAAAACCCTCTCTGCTCACTACTCTGATCTGCTCTCTGCTCTCTCAGTCTGTCCCTGCATACACACTCAAGGCTGAAGCCTTCCCTATGACTGACATCTATGCCACAGTTAGCAGATGAAAGGGGGACAGAGTGAAACAGATGAGACGGAGAAGGTCAGTGGGCAGATCTGAGTGCCTCCGGTGCTCTTAGGATGAGTAGTAATTAGTCAACAGTGTCCGTCTGAAGAAAGCATGGGGAAGGCTTTGAGTGTGACTACTCTCCCCCTCTCTCCCTGGAAGGGACAATTTTTAACACAACACGCTCTGTCTTTTTGCTGGAGGAGGAGGAGCGAGAGCAGCAGATGGTCGTTAATCAGCAGAGAGAATGTTTAGCCAAGGCGAGGAGAGGAGATATTGAATAATTGTTCTTCAAAGAAAACCTGTCCTATACTCTACACTCAGCCTCAGAGATGAAGAATGAAGGTCCCATGCCATCTAATCACCGTCTCTTGACCCAGTCCCCTAGATTAAGGCAAAGTTCTGTCTCTACATGGTCTACTCCCAACACAATAACAACAATGGAGATTAAAACAAATCATGAGAGCTTTTAGATTCCATACATGCATTTGGGGAAGCCACACAGAACAGGCCCTTGTCTGTACTGCTCAAACAAATGATGGACCTGCGCTCGTCAAATATTACCTCACAAAAGCACACTGTACATCTTTCTTTGTGAAATTGACAGCATTCCACTCTCACAGGCTGAAGATCACAACACAATTAGTACAACATACTGTATTGAGGCGTGACCCATTAGTGAGAATGCTGTACCCCACAGAATACAGTACCATACCATATTTTTTAGTCGAAAAACTTTGCCCTGTAAATCTACAGTAATTGACTGGCTATTGTGCTGCCAGTAATTTACTGTAATTCAGTGCCATACTGTATTTTTGGAATCTAAAAACCTTTTCCTGTAAATCTACAGTAATTTACTGGCTACTGTGCTGCCAGTAATTTATTGTAATTCAGTACCACCCCACAGAATACAGCACCATACCGTATTTTGGGAGCGCTATTTATTTTTTATTGTTGTTTCTGGCTCATTAATATATTTTGAGGCATGCCTTGTAAGAAGCTATATTTGTTGCACCTGTAACTGAGAGTACTCTACCAACTGAAATGTGGTAGTAGTACCCTAACAATTTAATGTGTGTAGGAGACAGATCAGGTGGCAGCCAGTCTCAAACCTATGATGGTTGAGTTTTTAGCCATGTCCTTTTGATCTGTTTTGCCCTGTAGTCACAGACCGTTTAGAAGCCTTAGTTTAGGCCTCTACAAGTGCAAGTGATATAAAACAATACAAATATTAATTGGTATGCTGTAATATATAATTACATACTTACTGTTAGCAATTGCTGTACTTTTATTACAATACCATTTAACAATAAATTACTGTTGTTGTAAGTGGCTATATTTGTTGCACATGTTAGTGAGAATGCTGTACCAATTGAACTGGTATGTGGTAGTAGTGCCCTAACAATTTAATGTGTATACACGGGACAGAACAAAGTGGCATTAAGTCTTAAACCTTTACTGGTTGAGTGTTTTGCCAAGTCCTTTTGGTCTGTTTTGCCATGCAGCCACAGCCAGTTTGGAAGCCTTTAAGGCCTCTAGAAGTGCAAGTGATATAAAACACCAAATATTCATAAAAGTTCTGTAATATACAAATACCTAGTAGCCACCTGATTGCATCAATCATGTAATTACTGTAAAATACTGTGAAATACCAATATTATAATTACAGTAGCATATACTTACTTATAGCACAGCAGACACATTTTACAGTATTGTGCTGTACCATTGCTCTGAATTAAAGTAACTTACAGGAAGCTGGTGGCAAGTTACTGTGGGTATTACAGTAACGTACTTGGCACTAGCCAGAGATGGGCAAAGATACATCAAAAGGTATCTTGTTACAAATACAAAATACCTTAAAGACCAATGTTTCCGTAACTACAACAACATTCTCAACAACATTCTCTTTACTTGCTATGACAGTGATATGTTTTTTTTTTCATCAACCTTAGTTTTATGCACTGACTGTAAGTCGCTCTGGACAAGAGCGTCAGCTAAATGACCAAAAATGTAAATGTAAAAATGTCCACTTGCAAAGCACATTGCTTGGTATTATTCTAATGAGCTCTCAAACTATTCATATTTTTATAAAATGTGGCTTTTTTGGGGTGCAGAGCTCATTAGAATAATACCCAGCAGTGTGCTTTGCAAGTGTCCAATCAATTGAATTTACCACAGGTGGACTCCAATCAAGTTGTAGAAACATCTCAAGGATGATCAATGGAAACAGGATGCACCTGAGCTCAATTTCGAGTCTCATAGCAAAAGGGTCTGAATACTTATGTAAATAACGTATTTGTTTTTTATTTTAAAAGATTTGCAAAAATGTCTAAAGAACTGTTTTCGCTTTGTCATTATGCGGTATTGTGTGTAGATTGCTGAGGCATTGTTTTTATTGAATCCATTTTAGAATAAGGCTCTATTGTAACAAAATGTGGAAATAGTCAAGGGGTCTGAATACTTTCCGAATGCACTGTACCTATATCAAATACATGTTAAAGAAATACTGCCCATCGTTGGTACTAGCTGCCTGCACTGTATATCTGCAACAGGTTACTAACCACTGTGCTTCCAGTAATGCACTGTAAATTCTAGAAATACAGCATGTTGCTGTAGTCAGGTGTTACAGTAATATGCAGTAAATTTGTATTTTAGTAAAGGTTCTGTAAATCTAAAGGCTTCTGTGCTGCCAGTATTTTACTGTATGAATTATAGGAAATGTTTTATAGTGTAGATGATGCTGAAGCCAATCAGTGATGTCTGTAGAATCTGTTCCCTGCTCAGCTGAGTAACCTCACACACCCTGTTAGCAGCAACACAATAAACACACACACACCAACATTGTAGTGGATACATGGACGACATGGCGCTTTAGATGACAACAGAGCACATACACTGTACACTACAGATCAATGATATGCAACACGAGTTGCTGTGTGTTCAGTTGTCTGCAGAGACTGAGCTGTTTTTGAAAAAGCAAGGATGCACCTCTAAAAGAGACAAAGGCAGTCTACCATGATTACAACTGAGCTGGATCCAGACTAACAGCCCAAATATACAGTAACAGTACTTCCCCAATACCCCACATTCCTTACTTTCATTATCACTGCTGTCTTCGGTAAGGTTGGGTTGGTTTGGTGGCAGTTGAGTCTAGCCTCCAATCCACATCCAATCAAGTCTGGTTAAGACCATTTACAATGTCCATCATGAAATACATAGTCCACAGCACAGCAAACAGAAAATACTCAAAGAAAGATCAGCATTTACAGGCAGGCACTTGTAGTCCGCAACAGAGTTTCTCACCATCAGGACATTGACAACACTAATAATAAGCACATAATCAGCATTGTAACACCCAAAGTAACGTGACAATAAGTAGAAGCTTTGCAAATGGCATTACTAATACTGTTTCTCAAGCTACTGCCCTGCGACCCATCTAGCTTATCATTCAGGAATACACCCCTACCAACACATAACCCTTTTATTCCACCCTAATAATAGTTCCCATCCTATACCAGGGGTTCATCAGTAAAAATGAATGCAAGCTGTTTTAATGAGTCCCAGACGTTAAAAAAAAAAAATACATAGGCTACATATACTATTGAATGAAACATTGTTTTCCATCACTTGGGACAAATGCTAATGCAAAACAGTGCTATTATATTTTCATTAATTCCTTTTGTTTTGCAACTATTAAACAGTGTATAATTGTCCTTTTCCTGTGGGTATGTTGGGCATGCATTCTCCATGGGTCATGGGTATTTTCCCTTTTTTAATGGCCTACAGGTTTGATTTACCCATGGTCATAGGTTAATTGAACCCTTCAGTTAGATATAAATCTGTGAGCCCATTGGTCTTGAAATTAGCATTACAGTCATGGTCATGTGTTGGTTTCCCTATAGACTGTGGGTGCATCTCCCCTAGCCTTGGGCGGTATACCGGGGGATTTAGAAATTCTGATGGCCACTGCTTATAACTATAAGTTAACTTACTAAGATAAATTATTTCCAGCTCAGGGCTCCAGCTATGCATTTGGTTTGCTAACTTGCTAGCTAAGTGGCTAGTTTGCAAAATTAAGCTTCTGGGTTACAGCAGAGACAATCAATCTCCTCCTGGATCAAGATCCCTGCTGCCTAAATTTGTTTTGTGAGTAAAAAAATAAGAATTGTTTATTTATTTATATATTTTTTTACTTCTGAAAATAAATAGCGCCCCTTGTGTGCAATGCCGGTAATAACGTATACCCCGGTATGGTACAGGAACGATATGAAGGTATGAAAATCTGGATACCGCCCAAACCTAATCTCCCCCATATTTACTGACTGCAGGTTAAATATTTCCCCCCTAGAAATGACTAAACCAATCACATAACAACATATCTCTCTGGTCTCCCCCCCATGTCCCCCCTGTCCCTCAGTCAGTCAGTGGTCCCTCCTTCAGCACGCCCCATGGTGCTGACCGTGGTGTAACTAAACCTGGACATGGACACCCCAATAGCCATGGCGTCCTCCTCTCCATCCCGCAGCCCTTGGTGTCGGCAGGGCGGGCGGCAGCAGCAGGCGAAGGTGGCGAGCAGCGCCTTGCGGAAGCGAGTGTTCATGAAGCAGTAGATAATAGGGTTAACACAGGCCGAGGTGTAGGACAGAAGGTGGATGAAGGAGATGGGGGCACCAGAGAGGGCACGGTGTGCAGAGGCTGGGTGGAAAGCCTTCCAGGTGTTGGCGCAGTAGAGGGGCATCCAGCACAGGAAGAACAGAGCCACGATCACCACCAGCATCCGGATCACACGCTTCTTGGCCAGGAGCTTGGCCTCTGAGGTGTTGCTGCGGGCACGCTCCACTTTGGAAGAGCTCCCCATAGATGATGTCAGAGCGGACATCTCCATGGAGTGTGGACGCTTGGAGACCTGGACGTAGCAACCATCGCCGTCGTCCCTGCCGCAAGACACAGTGGCGGTCAGGCCATTCTTTAGACCTGTGTAAGGGGCGAGCAAAGAAGAGGTCAAGTTGAGGTCCAAAACTGTGGGGAGGGGTCAGACCAATTACGTTCCGTAACTAATCATTTCAGAAGTTCACAAAAGTTTATGATCCATTCAACATTTCATACATCTGAATTGATGATGCACACACACATACACACACACACACAAACACAAACTCACATCCCCTGCTTATCTGTACTTTTCACCTGTACAAGGTTTCTTCTCTTCCGTGTCTGATAATTATTTCTGTGAATCACACCTCTTAAAAACAGTCGCTCACCTTAATGGGCACGGCGGTGAATCACCAAAAAACCTGAGTCATCTTACATCTGAGTGCTAACGTGCCTTCACATTATCTCTTTCTCTATATCACTACCCACCTGTTTCTCTCCATCCCCCCCTGTCCCTCACTCTCTCATATTGGACAGACAGATGGTGAAGGCGAGGCCTACTGCCATCAGCCAGTTCCATCCTCTAATGGAGCATCAGCAGCAAATACACTCTACATATTTGATAATAATAATAATAATAATAATAATAATAATAATAATATGCCGTTTAGCAGACGCTTTTATCCAAAGCGACTTACAGTCATGCGTGCATACATTTTTGTGTATGGGTGGTCCCGGGGATCGAACCCACTACCTTGGCGTTACAAGCGCCGTGCTCTACCAGCTGAGCTACAGAGGACCACTACAACCAGTACAACATTAGTCTATGCTCTATGATCATCCTAGCTATTCACTTAGGGTCCGATTCCGACCCGAGTTAAGCACGCTTAAATGGAACATAATTCCCTTTTTATGCACCTTTCCCTCTATGCGTATTCTGACGTTGAACTGAAGCACGAGAATAGCATGCTATTCACCCACTATTCGTTTTGGGTGGAGATCAAAGAAATTAAGGTGTGGCGGAGGTGCGTCTATAGATACGCCATATTCTGGCCTTGACTTAATTCTCCAATAAATCCACCACCTTTGCCAGCGATGGTAAAAGATGAATAAGGTCAAGAAACCTGTCGGTTCCAAGTGGAACAACATCTACTTTATTTTTTACGATTGAAATAACAACATTCTCCATGCACTGTAATTTACAAATTGATACGAGCTATTGATAAGAGCTAGGTCAATTAGTAAGCCGTTTGGATAAGGGGATTGTAAATGTAAAGGACAATTGTTTTATCTATTTTATCTTATGATCGCTGGAGACAAATGTGAAACCAGTTACCTAGCAGCAAACTGAAGCATATCAACATCTCACCTTTTCCACAGTGAAGTTTATGAAATGCTGGCCTTATAACTTGTGAAATGTGGAGACCCAAGCTATAGGCTTCTGTAGCCATGCGCAAATGACAGTATAGTGCCAACCTACCGAGATGATTTATGATTTCTATAATATTTGTATTATATTCCCGGACTTTTCACTGTATTTCTTAAATTTTGTATTATGTTAAATATTAGCCACTATCGGTAGCCACCTTCATTTATACCAACATACATTAATAACTGTCACTTTAGTGTTAGTTTCCTTACATTTTGCATCATTCCATTCCATTGTTAGTTTACCTTTCTTTCCTCTGTCACATTTGTGTGGTTGTTCCTGAGGATTGCTAACAATAGTTGATCATATTAGGCTAACGGATTACAAGTTGTGCAATCACTTGGAACATGTAACCTATTTGAATCATTTTGGAATGTAGACCATACGTAGCAGTTTAAACCTGGAGCCTGGCGCACAGTTCATGAAGACTGAACAGTTGTCATCACAGTTCCATGGTTAATGAGGATTATTAAGGTAGATTTATAGGACTACTGGTCAACCACTATTGTACACTTTTCTCACTTTCCAATATTTTATGGATTGAACAATTGAATATGGTTACTTTCAGGATGTATTTTTTATTCATCAATATATTTTGTGTGTAAAGGCTCTCCAAACCAGTTTTTTTATTATTATTCATAAATACTTTCCTAACCCTAAATAATATACAAGATCAAAATATTTTTAAATCTACCAATTGGTACTGAAAAGGAGATGAATATGCGTGTATTTAGATGGTTTTCTTTCATTGATCCTAATCTGAACCCGTTCTCTCGATATATATTCTAGTGAGTCTGTCTAGAAAATTCTAACGTAAAAATTCTAATTAAAAGGTACACCATATTTAAAGGAATGGCTTTAGATACAGTAAATGTACTGAAAACCCTGTTGAAAGAAAACTCCACGAGAAAATATGTTGGCCAGAAAGTGGGAGAGTTTTCAGCAGTTGAATTCAATTAATTCAGTGCGTGCCATGGAGCCATTCCTGCAAAGCCAGTTACGCACCTGCATACGGTAAATCTGAATACCAACTTCTGAGAAGTGCTTAAATCAAAACACGTAAAAAAGGATTTGATTGTCTAAGTCTGAATCAGGCCCTTTCATACGGACTAAAGAGTATGTTGCTCTAACCTGCAACACCTACCATGATTGTACTGCTAATGAAATGTTGATACTGTGTGACCATAATTAGGATTATCATGCTGATAAACCAGAGAGAGAGAGAGCGAGAGAGCGAGCGCTCAAATCCAAGATAATCTGGATCCTAATTAAAACATCTGGGAAGCACTAATGGGCAGAAACTAGAAGATACGCACATTTTTTCATTACTAAAATTCAAACATTTGTTGTTCATGCCAATTCCGCATTCTAATGTCTTCTCACTAACCCAGCTGCTAAAATAAGTGAATAAATGTGTGAATAATTAAATAACAGTAATGAAGGACTCACCGGGGGATGATGACTTCTGACCCAGCTCAAACTGGATTCCCCGGTACAGCTCTCTGGAGATAAGTCCATAAGCCACGATCATCACCACCCCCGGAACAACAAAGAGCGTAAGCAGCAACATCATGTTCCTGGGACACACACAGGAACTGGGGTTAACAAGTCAGTTGTGCCTTACCCCTCTAATGATTAGGTTAGGACATTTGGAGGATAAACTGATCATACATCTGTGCCTGAGGCCAGCTTCCACAAGGGGTACTGATAGATGTATAAAAGAAGAGGGCTCGCTCACGGGAGACTTCCAGAAAGAGATTAGGCAGAGGAAGTCCATTAGACATTGGGTAAGGAGAAAACAGAGTGAGGTATCTTCCGTTCTCAAATATATTTTCTGTGGTTCAACCGGTGGAGACATGACATAATGGTTACTACCAATGTTCCCTCTAAGCTGTGCGAGTGTGCGGGCGTGCAGCTCCCCTGGGACTGCCATGCAGAAAAAATAACAGCCCGTGCAGAGAAGCACGAGATTGAACTTCACTCAACTTTCTAGTTTTCCTCTTTAGTTAACACTATCAATGTTTCCCTCTACTGTGGGAATAGCCAATATTAGCCACTTTCAATGCAACATACCGAAACAACACGAACTATGCAAGACTTAGTATGCAAAACTAACTATGCAAGATATTTTCTTGTAGGTAGAATGCACCAGAGTAGAATTCTATTGCATTGACAGGCACAACTCAGCCCGTACTCTACAGACCTGTGCGGCATAACCAATCAGAGATGCAGTATCCCTATATGCAAATAGACCATTGCCATATATGGATCTGTGCCATTCACTTTGAACTGGACTGTGTTTAAAGCATGAGTGGTCGCGAGTAGATGCACTTGAAATCAAAGTGAGAGCTGCATATAGCCATGTGTGCACATTTGTTCATATTCTTTGCTAGTAAGTGAGTTATTAGCCCAGTTATAGCTAATTTCTAGTCAGCAATGGAGGAGTGGTTGCTTCCTACAACAACACAAAACGTGTGCATTTCTAGCCATCTTTGAAAAGTGAGTCAGGTAAAGAGCATTTTTTCTGTCATAAAGGGGCAGGGTTGTATTTTGAGACAGGCTTGAACAAGCTAAGTAGCCAATAGGCAGAGGGTAGCATAATTTGTCTGATTCTCTGTAATAATGGTATGGGAATAACAATGAGCTTTATTTTGTAAAGGGGTTTCTTGCATTAAACAACACATTTTCAGTCACCTCCTTGTCTGAAGGACATGTGGCTAAACAGGTTAATGTCAACACCTGCATATTTGTTCCAAAAATTGCATGGAATGTAGGCCTACATTGAACACCACACATTGGCTGCTACTGTAGGCTGAATGATAGAACAGCTATTTCCATGTAACAGCTATTTCCATTTTCGCCATTGCTTTTTATGGTAGGCCTACATTATGATCAAATAGCCACAGTAGCCTACTTAGCCACTGTTATAACTGTAACTTAAAGCGGGTACAGCCTCAGTGTTCACAATAAACATGTGTCAGAAGTTGCACAGACTTTTCACAACATTCAAGTTTGCGCTCAGTAGACCTGAAATTTGCTCAGTGCCAAAAAAGATTTGAGGGAACATTGGTTACTACCCTACCACTATAGAAGACATAGCTACATTCCACAACAATGTTGTTTCTTATACTATCCATTCCAACCAATTGTCATCATGAAGGACAAAATATGTGGAAAGAGGGAGTCTAAATACATTTGTAAACTTAATGTCTTGATTGTGAATATTATACTCTATCTCCGGAGGACATGTGGGACTTAGAATAAAATAACTCACAGGTTACAACGGATATAGTACTTTGTCTTGTATTAGTTCTCCGTCACAAGAACAGCCAAGAACCACATCGACATTAAAGCTCCTTCTCCTTGACTCTGGGAATAATTAAGTGCTTCACAATAAAAGCCTTAAAACGGGTACAATCAATACTAGTGACTAAATACAATTTTAGAATACAAGTAATAGTGCCAAAACCAAGGCTACATATTCCTAGAAACATTGATCTGGTGAATTAGGAATGGGAATTGTTGGAATTAAACTACCGCTTTGGGGAAAGCCTTAATAGCTCATTGAAATAAATATGGGTTTTCCTTTGTAGAGTTACCACGGTGTCGTGGGTGATTTGGACAGAGTCAGGCGCAGGAGGGTGAATCACTGTATAAATGGTTTATTCGGCAGATACAGCGCTACGCAGCAATGCGTAAAAACACTACAGTGCGGTATAACGGCGCACTGGAGAAAAACAAAACACATTGGTGAATATCCCGGCGATACAATACATAAAGCTCCACCGAGCTATCGTCACCTCCACAAGAAACAATCACACACAAAGACAGGGGGGCAGAGGGAATACTTATACAGGTATTGATGAGGGGATATGAACCAGGTGTGTGTAAAAACAAGACAAAACAAATGAATGATGAGATGAGGAGTGGCAGTGGCTAGAAGGCCGGTGACGACGAACGCCGAAGCCTGCCTGAACAAGGAAAGGAGGCAGCTTCGGAGGAAGTCGTGACACACGGCCATTATAACAATATTCTTCAATCATAAGAGAGCCTGTAGCAGTTTAGAATCATTTGATTTGCATGCATTTTCCATTGGAATAATTTTTCTTATTTTTGGTTCCTAGTGTTCTAGCCTTTGTAACTCAGAATTAAAGCCTGAGTGGAAGAGAAGGTAAAGAGTACATTTTGTGCATTTGATTCATCTTAATAGTGATTTAAAATGGATGTCTGACAACAGAGAGGTTGGAGAGGAACCCAAGAGAGCCCTGTGAATGACAGCACTGGATGTGAACACACAATGGAAGACAGAACACACTTAACAAGTTAACATTGTATTTCTATTACAGCATATTGGATGACTGTCATTCATATTCCATTAACCAAGTTCAATATAACATCGATGATACTCAACTTTTCCCTATACCCATCATGAGGTTACTAGAACCTAGCCTATGAATGAAAGTTTACAGCGTAAGTGCACACAGGTCGAGAGAAAGATTTGAGGGGACAGACAGTGACACATCGACATACAGTGACACATTCAATACCGCCTTGCACACTCTTGCTTGAATCTAGCTGATCTAGGGTGTAATCATTAGTCCAACAGTTGCAAACGAGAGTTTCTATTGGACACATTCAGGAATGTTTATCCCCGTTTCGTTCCGTTTAAGAAACGTTTTTCAACAGAATCAGCGGAATGAATACACCCCTGATCACACGCAAATAGTTCACTTTCATAGCCACACAAACAGCTCGTTGTATTCCTTATCGCATCTACGTGCTCTCCTCCTCTCACCTTTTCCCTTCGGTTGTGGACTCCAATACACAACACATCAGCTGTCTGTGACCAGGCGAAAAAACTTTTCCAAAATCAAACCTTCATATCATAACCGCTACAGACAGCCTACATTGTTGTCACCATATTGGCTAAAGTAACGTCATAGACAACATATATAATAGAACTAACGCATTAGTAAACCCGCTACAATCACGCAGTACAGTGTCCAGTCAGTAAGCAGTTTAGCAGTTACACCGGCAGGCAATAAATTAGTCAAACCAAAAGCTTACCTTGACTTGGAAGAGTTCCAGTGTTGGATAGTCATAGCCAGCTAGCTAACATAGTATCCCTCTGTTTGAGTAGGACAACATGTCAGTTCATGCTACAAGAGCTCTGATAGGTTGGAGGGTGTCCTCCGGAAGTTGTCATAATTACTGTGTAAGTCTATGGAAGGGGGTGAGAACCATAAGCCTCCAAGGTTTTGTATTGTAGTCAATGTACCCAGAGGAGGACGGAAGCTAGCTGTCCTGCAGAGTGCTGCTGAGGCAACCTTCATTGCAAAACTTTTTAATGTTTCACTATTTTTATTTTTTATGAACTTCACTGCGGATGGTCCTCCCCTTCCTCCTCTGAGGAGCCTCCACTGGACTATAGCTGTTGTTTTCTGTAGACTGGAAAGCCTCAAGTGTATTTTTCTCACAGGGCTCCACTCCACCAATAAGGGGTCATGGCAGTAGGCTACAAATATGAAATAATAATGAGAGAGCAGCAGTACACCTTCTACACAGGCTGTGTCTAATTCCTCCCCCAGAGGAGCCCTACAGTCATCCACAATGCACCCGGTGACCTGGGATGCACTGCTACTACAATGACAGATTAATGACTTCTCTGGTGGGAAATGGTCAGCTGGAGAACAAGTTTAATTTTTTTGCTGTTGCGACCATTTTAGTGATGTGTTTATATTCTACTTTGTATACAAACACAATATTGCCGTATTATCAATACAATTTATACGTGTAGGCAGATGTTCCTTTTTTTTGTCATTACAGTTCCATCCAAACCCGATAAAATTAAGTATTAGGAAAACAGTAGTAAGCAAAAAGTAAGATGAGTATGAGTATGCACCCATCCATCCAGCCACACACACACACCCAGTCACCCACACCAACACTCCCCACCCTACACACACACACTCACCAGGTCTGCTCCACCTCCCTGTGGGGCCAGATATGGCGACACATGCGTGCGATGGTGATGTTGTCCTTCAGGGGGACATGGACCAAGTGGCTGAACACCGGGTAGGGACTCATGATCATGAAGGACAGCAGCCAGGTGGCGGTGATCACCCGGTAGGCATGGGAACGGGTCTGCCACGCCCGTGACTTTAGCGGGTTGCAGATGGCGCTGTAGCGCTCAATTGCTATGGCAACCAGGCTGAAGGTGGAGATGCTCACGGATACACCTGTTGGAAAATAAGGAAAAAAGAAACTAGCTAACAAACACTTTTAAGAGTTTTGATTATTTACAAAGTTCTCTCTTAAGTGAAGATACGAAAGACTTAGATAAGTTTAAGTCTTGAAAGGTTCAAACTTTTCAAACCATCAGGGATCAGATTAAATGTGACGAACTACAATTTATGAATCAGAGATCAGTATGCGCTGTGGACTTCTAAGTGAATATGTGTTTTTAAGGATGTGTGGATGTGTTAGTAAAACATGAATGGGAGACGTTGGCTAGATAGAGATGGCCTGAGGGAGATGGCTATCTGGTGTTTGAGGAAATCACATTGGCCTGAAGCTCCTGATCTGATCCTGCCCCTCAGCCCCCAGACTGGAGAAGGGAAATTAATCCATATCCTCCTGCTAGCTGGAACATAAACATGACATGAGATTGTGATTGTGATTATTTGTGTGTGTGTGTGTGTGTGTGTGTGTGTGTGTGTGTGTGTGTGTGTGTTTGTGCGTGTGTGTGCGTGTGTGGACGTGTTTTAAAAAAAAATAACATTTTGTTAGTCCCCACAAGGTCAAATGCTATTTCTAGGGGGTTTAGGGTTAAGGTTAGGAGCTGGGGTTAGGGTTAGGATTAGGTTTAAGGTTAGATTTCCGGGTTAAGGTTAGGTTTAGGGTTAGGGTAAGGGTACAGGTTAGGGAAAATAGGATTTTGAATGGGACTGAATTGTGTGTCCCCACAAGGTTAGATGTACAAGACTGTGTGTGTGTGTGTGTGTGTGTGTGTGTGTGTGTGTGTGTGTGTGTGTGTGTGTGTGTGCATGCCTGTGTGTGTGTGTGTGCGTGCATGCCTGTGAGCCTGCATACTTGTGTGTGTGCATCCATGTGTGATATACTATGTTTGTCTGTGTGAAGGTCTGTGTGGTGTCCTGTGTGCAGTTCTTTGTGGGGTCCTGTGTGCAGGTCTGTGTGGGGTCCTGTGTGCAGGTTTGTGTGGGGTCCTGTGTGCAGGTCTGTGTGGGGTCCTGTGTGCAGGTCTGTGTAGGGTCCTGTATGCAGGTCTGTGTAGGGTCCTGTGCTGTGCTATTCTGTGGGGACCCTAGGGAGCAGCTGAAGAGCATGGTCAGCAGAAGACAACAACGATCAGCCAACAGCAGATTCCCAGAGCCTACCCTTTACCCACTTTCTCTCTCAATGTATCCTAATGATGCTTCTCTTTCTAATAATTCCTTCCATGCCGCTGGGTGCAAATGGTCTCTTCTAACACCTCTGTTATACTCTACCCTTTACCTTCTCAATCTTCTATTGTTCGCTGAGCATAGGCATTCATTCTAATGTGCAGGGAAGCTTGAAAATCCTTAATGAGACCCAAAATTCCCTGAAGACCAGAGACCCATGCATACAGTACTGTTGCTACATTCCTTTTTCATGCTAACCGGGGTATAGTTCACGGTCATATGGTTGGAGAAGGCTCTGGTTGATGAGCAGAGTAGGCCTAGGTTTTGGATTTATACTTAGAGCATAACAGAGAGTTTGAGCAAGACGCTGAATGAGTGGGACAGAAATCCATCCCATCTCTATCACTCTTGTTTATTCTCGCTATACCTCCATCACTCACTCTCTCCATCTAACTCAATATTTTCTCCAGCCTCGATATTTCCCACACCCTCCCTCAACATTTCCCGTCCCCCTTTCTTACCCATGAGGTAGGCCACTATCTTGCACATGGCGGGTCCGAAGATGAAGTCCTCCAGGAGGTTGGGGATGAGGGTGAAGGGCATGCAGAAGATGGCCATCATCAGGTCGCTGACCGCCAGGGACAGCAGGAAGGAGTTGGTTACCGTCCTCATGCGCTTGTTGACCGTCAAGACCACAATGATGAGCAGGTTTCCCAACACACTGAGGAGGAAGATGACCGAGTAGAGTAGGATACGCAGCGAGTCCACCTCTGGAGGGAGGAGGAGAGAGAGGAGAGAGGAGGAGAAGAAAGAGAGAGATAGAGGGGTGGGGTATAAAAGAAAGAGGGGGGAGCATGAGAGAGAGGGGGGTGACAAACAGAGGTGGAGATAAAATAACATGTTAGATTCAAAGCCTGATGGAAGCAATAAAATCCCACCAGTCACAATCCAACACAGTATGCGTGTTGTGTTCCTCAGCCACAGATGATTAGATAGATGGTTATTATGTCATGTCAACATAACACTACTCTTCCCCCTGCCAAGCCTGGAGGAGGTCAGGTAAATTCTTTATAGAAGCCCATCGAACGGCCCAGCCAGACAGAGAAAGTGAGTCAGGGCAGGAGCCCTGGTCCAGTTTAACAGATCAATCAGCACTGTTGAACATACAGCTCAATTCAATCACCCTGTTTCTATTGATTTTTACATCTACCTGGCCTCTGGGTGTACCATAGTAATAGTGTGTGTGTGTGTGTGTGTGTGTGTGTGTGTGTGTGTGTGTGTGTGTGTGTGTGTGTGTGTGTGTGTGTGTGTGTGTGTGTGTGTGTGAGGAAGGAAGGAAGGAAAGAAAGTAAATGAAAAAGAGATCATTCCAGTCCTAATTGACTACCTTAAAAGGTTCTATTGGATACTTCTTCTGGTCTGGAAAGCAATTTATTATTTTTCTCCATGAGACACCATTCACTTATAGACCATGGCCTAATGCACAAAATTAATTATACAATTACATTTCCAACTGGGTCGATTGGTGATGAGAAAGTAATTGTGAAGAAAAGAATGTCTTGCTTTATGATTAATTAAAGGGATAAGGAATGTTAATTGGAAAAAAGTGCTGATAGTGTACAATAAAACATTATTTGAATGTCACATAGAGTATGTTATCATGTAAGGCACTGACCCAAACTCAATGTGGGCAAGATCAGATCTAGGTCAGCACAACTCAAATATTCATGGGACTATAACATACTTACCGTATCTATGCATAGTTTACGCAACCTCCTCTTTCTAACAAATGTCCTACCTACTGTACCAATGCTTTCTCTACCTCTCTGTTCCACTCAGACATCCTACCCACTGGGCACACACTGGTTGAATCAACGTTGTTTCCACATCATTTTAATGAAATTAAGTTGAACCAACGTGGAATAGACGTTGAATTGACGTCTGTGCCCAGTGGGTATCTCCCTCTCCTTCACTGACTCTGGCTAAGAGTCCACATTCTCTCCTCTTAGTATTTGGGTGGTCAGGTTATAGGAGAACCAGCATGAACCTTGTATAAAACACCTCCAGAGAGAGAGAGAAAGAGAGAAAGAGATAGAGAGAGGAGAGAGAGAGGAGAGAAGAAAAGAGAGAGAGAGAGAAGCGAGAGATTACTAGATCCGAGCGATAATACTCTATATAGCGAGACTCCTCTCTACCATCTTCCTATCGCAGACGCTCATCGATACGATCTATCACCTGCTCGCATACATCACCTAGAGATCAGAATCACGAGACGACATAGACAGATGACACGATACTAGAGACTATATAGATCATGACATACATATACTTCGAACATGCAATATCTCACCATCTCCTATCGTCTCATCTACTTCTTCTTTTCCCCTTCCTCCCTCATTCCCTCTTATCCTCTCAACACCACCTCCTGTCTCACTCTCTCCCATTCGTACTGAGCCCTATCGACAATGCGTCTTATCCTAAATATGACAACCCATAGATTAATAGGTACAGATAGAGAGAGCAACAGACATTGCTCCTGCATTTTTAAACAAAAAATATAGATATAGAGTTGATAAGTAGGATTTTTTGGCAGGGACATATACAGGATGCTACCCTCCACACCATGACCTTAATTCCAAACCAAAACTCCAAACCTACAACCTGATTTTGGACGGAATTACCTGGAATTACCTGCAAGGCATTCTACTACCAAGGATTACTCTTCCCAAGCTATACAGCAAATGCTCTGGAAAACAAACAGAAACCTGAAACAACCAACCAACCTGGAACAGAGTGATAATGTTTAGTATGAAGCTATTTTTTCACTTCATAAACCAAGAAGAAAATACATTCAATGTATTTATTTTTAACTAATGCTAATAACGCTTAGTACAAGGGAAATTCCCCTTTGGTAAACACTTTTTCCCTTTTTTTTTTGGGGGGCCGGGGGTTAAAAAGGGAAAAACCCCGCTGCCTTTGTATCCCCCCCCCAAAGGGGGAAAAAAAAAAAAAAGGAGGGAGGGAGAGAAGAAAGTTAAAAAAGGAAAAAGAAAAAAAGGGCGAAGAAGTAAAAGGATTCCCGGTTCCCGTTTTCTCCCCTTTCCCTCTCTCTCTTCCTCTAGATTCCCCGGGACCCCTGACCCTAAAAAGAAAACCTATTAGAAATATGACTAACCAAAAAAACAGACAAGAAAAGAGAAAAGAGGAAAGATTAGTTTTTTAAAAGAACTTCAAACCAAAGAATATAACCCCTTATGGAATATCCAATCTTCCAAAATTCATCCTAACAACCCCTACCCACCTATCACCCTTTTCCCCAAACCCCCAAACCAAATATATAAATGACAAAAGTCAAAGTTCTGCATTTTGAAAAAATAGAAAATTAAAAGGTTTTTGGGGGATTAAAAATCTCCTCCACCATCCTTTTAACAAAAAAATTTAAAACCCAAGTTTTTCAAAATTTCGTTTAACCGGGAAAACAGAATCTAACCCCCAAATTTTTAAAAAAATTATTTCCAAGCATTTCACCAATCCTTAAACAAAAAACTAAAAAAAACAAAACAACCCCCCTGAACTTTAAATTTTAATTGAACTATTTTTTCCACTTCTAAACCAAGAAAAAAAATTAAAATGTTTTTTTTTTTTTATAAGGGGTGAATGCTAAGGCTAACCACCTTAAACTTTCTTTTACAAAGAATACAATTTCAATTGCACTGACGTGTGAAGTGAGAGGTGTCCAAGCCCCTGAGTCCCCAAAAATGGCCGGAAGTCCCTACATCCTACCCCAACCAAATGGGAGGCCTTAGAAGCACCCCCCCCACTGTTCAGAGGGCATTAAAAATAAATAATATATGTCATTTAGCAGACGCTTTTATCCAAACCAACTTACGTCATTTTGCATACTTTATTTGTGTATGGGTTTGGGCCCGGGATCGAACCCACTACCTTGGCGTTACAAGCGCGTGCTCTAACCAGCTGAGCTACAGAGGACCACCCATACACAAAACAAAATAAATTAAAATACAGTAAACCCTCTGAATGTAAAAAACGACAAGACACGAAAAGAGTACAAATTGAACTTCTTTTGGGGAAGCAGGAGACACTTTTTGCTGATTTGTTAAAATGGGAACATAAACAACTTATCTCCACACCCCCCTTGGCATGGCAAAGTGCTATAAGACAACCCCGTAGATTTTTGCAC